ATGCTATACGGGAGGAGATTTACCTTACTAACAGACCATAAACCCCTGCTGTCAATATTTGGGTCAAAGAAGGGTATTCCAGTCCATTCAGCGAACATACTACAAAAATGGGCAGTGATTTTACTGGGATATGACTTTAGCATCCGATATCGTCGAACGGAGGATTTCGGCCACGCAGATGCACTATCACGTCTGATAAGCAACTATCCCTCATCTAATGAAGATTCAGTTATAGCGGTTTTGAAGACGGAAAACGATGTTAATAAATTGTTAATACTGGCCATCCAGCAACTTCCTATTACATCAGAACAAATAAAACAGGCAACTAGAGAAGATTCAACTCTGCAGGAAGCCATACAGTTCGTAAAGACTTCTTGGCCTAAATCGGTCTCAAGTCATGATCTTAAGCAATTATTCCGCCGCCGTCACGGTCTCAGCATTGTTAATGGATGCCTGATGTTTGGGGAACGTGTAGTCGTACCAAACTCTTTACGTATGACAGCTCTAAAGCAGTTTCACAGTGGGCATCCGGGTATTGCTCGCATGAAGTCGATAGCCAGAAGTTATGCATACTGGCCATGTATGGATGCGAACATAAAAGATTTTGTTAACCGCTGTCATGGGTGTCAAGTTGCAGCCAACGATCCGCCGCGGGAGCCACCGAGAGCATGGCCCACGTCAAAACCATGGTCCCGACTACATGTGGATTTTGCTGGGCCGATAGAAGGTATATACTACTTGGTTCTCGTGGACTCTTACTCAAAATGGCCGGAGGTAGTACAAGTGACACCACCTCCTAGCAGCAGAACAGTACCAGTCCTGGAAAAGATCTTCGCATGTCACGGTATACCAGAAGTCATCGTATCTGACAATGGCAGTCAGTTCACCTCACAAGTGTTCCAGGAATTTTGCAAGAGAAACGGTATACAACACGTGCGGACGCCACCTTATCACCCTCAATCCAACGGTCAGGCAGAAAGATTTGTCGACACCTTCAAACAAGCGTTGTTGAAAGCAGGGGGAGGGGCGAAACCGGAAGCAATACACCACTGGCAGAACAGAAGAAAAGCCCTGCAGAACTTCTAATGGGTCGAATGCTACGAACTCATCACCACTCCATGTTACCATCTTCGTCACATCAACGAAGAAATAGTCTGAAGTATTACCGCAAGGGTGATGCCGTCTATGTGCGCGATTATCGACCAAGGAACAGAAAATGGGCCGAAGGCTTGATAGAATGTCGACATGGAACTCTAATGTACAAGGTTAAAGTTGGGGATGAATGGTGGATAAGACATAAAAATCAGATACGACGTCGATATACTACATCCCAAGAACCTAAATTGCCACTGGATTTACTACTGGAAACTTTCAAAATACCACCAGTCAAACCAGAAGCAAAACAAGAGATGCTACCCAGCCGACGATCCCAGCGCAAACGAACACAAACAGTTCATTTCCAAATCGACCCCGAGGAAAAAAGATACTAAACTGTTTGCAAGATTCTTTTTAAAAGGGGGAGGTAATATATACACAGGTGAATCATTAATATTCATCATTCATTTCCCACACTAGCATAATCATTAATTTCCCGCATCTGCGTGATTAGTGATTTTAATTACTGAATCCCCATGGTTTGTTAATATTTTTAAAACGTGACATTGATTTTCCTAACTGTATAAATACGGAGTTTTTGTTTAATATTTTCGACTGCTGTTAGAGACAGTAAAAGCTCTTGTATCAACGTCCAGTCTTCTTTCTTTGCCTTGCGTGCCCGGCGGTATTGTTGTTGACGTGCGATTAGGACAGATTAGCCAGCACATTAGTTAGATTCACTCGTAGTCTACAAGGTCCTAATATTCACATACATAACACAATTGTAGAAATGAGCCTTGTATTATATCCCACAGCAACATAGCAACGGATGTCGTAATGGGGATATGCAATAAAGCCACTCGAGTATGTCTCTTGTACACTGCTCAACATTTTGCCCCCTATTCCGATGCTGAAACTCATGATAAAAAGGCAGTTAAGTATTATCCTCCTTGCAGCCTCAATTTTCTCACTTGGGATTTGTATCACCGTAGGTGTAATGAAGAGGAAGCGCGGTATCCTTTGCTCTTCATCCAGTAGAGTAAAAAGAGAATTCGAAGCCTGTCGACTAAGAGCAATTAACTACACAGCTTAAAGCTATCTGCATATTGCAGCCTTCGTGGTGCACAGAAATTAAAGACGCAAGCAATGCTGCGCATTCCGCTTCAAGCACAGATGACCTCTGTACTAAATGAGTTGGCTTTTATTAATTCTGATGGTGGGCATAATATAAGGAGTCGAAGATATTGGGGGTGTAATTAAAGGTTCAGACATCTAAAGTGCAGCGATCAACTTCTGTCGGTCATGGCAAACAGTGAATTGACGTTCAGTGAACTTGTTTGCTCGAACCAGTTTCCTGTTTTCAGGAGACAACAATCTCTGTCGTTGCTTAGACATTCGCTCACTGACAGAAGACAGGGACAATATGATCACAAACGTTTTTGGTGTATCGATAGTAACCTACGGTAAATCAAATAGTCAAGCTGCGGTGCAGCTGACTTACTACATTGGTTTATACTTGGTGGATCAAGAAGTCTGCGATTTATCTTCTGTCTTTTGATAACGCTTGAGTTGAAATCTAGTTGGTTATTATATGCATAAAATAGTATTAGGAGTTCTGGAGGGCTGTCTTCTGGCCACAGCGAACTTTCCCGATATCCTTATTGACAACTTATCTATATCTTTTCATATAAGTTAAAATGAACTTATCATGGATTGATGAGGAGACCGAAGCTTGTCGACCGGAACTGTCCATCTGAAATATTCTTATAAGCACTCAGTTCTTCTGTATGCTAACTCATCTCTTGAGAGGCGTATAATTTTTTCTCCTAATCTGCTGGATGATTACAGAGTTAGCCTGACCAACAATTCGGGGCGAAATAAGTAGCCGGCAGTCTGTGTGACTAAAGCACGGTTCTATCAGAATAATTTTTTATAACATGTTTATCACATGTGTTTAAGGCCAATGAGTGAATGGGTTAACGACCCTTCAAGTAGTCCATATAAGTGGCCTAACAGACATTCATGGGATACTTTCGTCGCATATACTGATTCACGCAAGAAGTAACTTGACGTGCGGCGTAAGGACGTAGAATGCAGATTTTACAAGGCCTGGTTATATCTGCGGATTCTCAGTTATTCCTTCAAAGGACTAGGCTCCTGGCTAGAATTCGGTAGTATTCTGGGAACTGTCTTTTTTGTTCAGTATTTCGCATAAAGCAGTTAATGCTATAATTCCTGCCTATTTCGCGTCCTAGGTTTAGGAAGCTTTTCCCGTGATACGCAGATCTCTACATCCTAGGAAAATTGGATATTTTCAGTGCAGACAAAATGATCGGAAACTGTCTCAGTCATAGAAACAGGCTATGACTAAGTAGGAAGGTGGGATGGCTCAAGATGTGGCTCCTGCAAACCAAATAAAGTTAACTTGTGAATGGATTGACCCAAATCTCAAACATTTATGTATGAATTCAGGGAATCAATAAATTCGTACTTCTCCGCAGTTTATCAAACTTCCATGAATAGCATACAGTCAAAGTTCATATTCCGACAATTTTGAAAGGATTTAAAATGAAGGAATCCATGGCACTATTAAATACAGAATAAAATTACTACAACATTGCCTTCAGGCAACAATAAAGTTTGATGGGCCTGCAGATAAAGAACAAGTACTGCACAACAAAGTCAAATAATCTGACGCAACTGTAGGATACTCGAAAATCAAGAAGAACTGTTCCATTGAATTGGAATTGACATGATGTCAGCTAAAATCAAATATAATAAACGACGTGTTTCTCAGACAGTTTAAAAACCGACAGCCCAAGTACGGATTAACTCTGGACTCACTCGAAAAAATCTCGACAGTAGAACGACATTAATGTTACAACTCCCGAAAAGTGAAACAATAGAAACAAACTGGTGAAGAGGGGGAAGATATGCAGGTGATAGTATAGTAGTACAGAGGTTGGGGTTGAAGAACAGTAACCATAGAATAAGTTGGAAGATTCGAATAACTACGTTTTTCCTAAATAGATTGTTCAGGAGGATTTTCAGATGAGTCATTCCTCGGTAGCGACAATGCTGACTGATCGTCAAGGTCAGTGTGTATACTTCATGGAACGTGTCACGTCTGCGAAACCTGCCGTCTAAATGTTGTGTTGATCATAAGTTAAGGCCCTACGACAGTCGCACTCTTTATGTCAAAGGCGATAAATCGTTGCAATTCCTCTGCAAGCTTATTGATGACGGTAACTTTTCAACAGCGTTTCTGACGCTCATTAGTTGATTCATGTTACAGGATTCACGGAGCGATTCAGAGTTACGGTGGACACATTGGAATTGGTTCAGAGAACAAAAATTAATTGATTCAAAGACATCCCAGGCTTATTAAGAACTCCGATATGACTCCGAAGAAGATGAACAGATTTCAGGACAAGCAAGAAAGAATCGAAACTATTCACAAAATTCCAGATGAATATTCAGCATTTTACGCAATAACTTTATTACGGATTTATATTAAATCTTTCTTCATGATATAACGAGCCATGCACAGAAGAGGACAGTGAATTTCAAGAAAAAGTAATCAGTTTCCCACACTTGTAACTTCTTTCTTTGAATGTAACCACGAGTATTAGAGTTCTACCACAGGTTACGAAGTCTAAATATTTATAAATTTATCGGAATTAAGACTGAACTTACTCTTATTTCAGAAAATTTTCTATCAGAGATGATTATCACTCTGAGGATCAGCAAAACACGAGTACCAATATAGTAAGTCAGTGGTCTGCATTTATCCGTGTTGAACACTGAAAAGTATTTATGAGGTCACCGCTCTGAATTCGGATTTCTGGAGTTTGCATCAGGGATTTAGGCTGCAATTCTTATCAGTATGTGCTAATAAGACAGCAATGGGTAATTGTTTTGGATTCCGGAGTGAAACTTCGTATCTTCTGGATCAAGAAGTCTATGAAACTCACGATGAACAGGATGAAATCCCCAGAGCAGAAGTAAGTAGCTGGTATTTTGATATTCGGAGGCGTAGCGGAGCCCATGAATGTGCCTGTATTTTATTTTACTACTGCATTTTGTAAATTCCATAATTTCTCTTGAAGCTAAACCTTCTAGAGCTAGAAAATAATTTAAAGAACGTCTGTGTTCAAATAATCTTACATCTGAGACACTAAAAAAATGTTACTGATAATGTTGGTCACCATTTATTTTTCGCATCAAACTGGAACTGATTCTGACTTTTAGGGCCATTTACCATTCGTGAATTCACCTCGGATTTGGTTCAGTTGGTTTCAATTGTTTCCATCAGGCATTTGTATCATCGTGAGATCTCGTGTGATAGGGTCTACGAGTTGTGTAACAGTTATCTATGAGTAAGTGCTGCGAAACATTACTAACTCAAATCTGATAAGCAAATTCGCTACCGGCTTGGTAATTGATACCCTTACAAGGTCTAGCAAATCATACCTGTCACCTTTCTATGTGGTCCAAATAACGTCGCGAAATTATTCAACGTACAGCTTCAGTCGACTTACAATGTACAAATTAAGAGTTTGTCCGTTCTTGTATAATTTTCTGGAGTGGAACAATAACCTGTTCATTTCAAACATCAAGAAATGAACACGAAGCGCTACTCAGTAGCCATTTGCATATATATATATACGTATATATATATATATATATATATATATATATATATATATGTAGCAGTAAGCTATACTTGACGAGGACTGATGCTGACACCCACACTTCAGTAGGCAATTGTGTTTCAAATGTTAGGAATACGATGTAGTGAATCCTGCCGTTACTGTTGATTGTGGGGACATGCACTTATTTGTTTTGTTCTCTATTTTTTCTCGTTTTGGGTTACATTAATTTACATGGCTCATTGATTGGTGCCTATTCTAAAGTAATTCTGCTTTTACAAGAAATATGAAACAGTTCACTTCAGTAATCTTTTTGGCCGCAGTATTCTGACGATTGTTGTATTTAGTTCATGAACCAGAATGTAAATTTTTGGTCTGGTCACTATGAGGAGGAATTAGGGGGTAGGTCGAAGATTTCACCAAAGAGTACTGGTTTGCCACAAAAACCAGACATTTGAAAATAGTTGTAGATGATAGCTTTGATTCAGATTCAGATTCAGATTATAAGGATAGAAGGCTCTTGTTGCCTATGTTAGTCCTCGCGATATATATCTCTGCAGAGATCCAGTTTCTTTTTGAAAGCGTTCACCGATGGAGCTGTTGCTACTGAATCAGGTAAGGAGTTCCAGTCGTTGACCACTCTATGAGAGAATCTAAACTCCAAACGTATTTTATTCGACCTTGGTTTGAGCACCTTCTTCTGGTGACCCCGTAAATGTATTCTAGAGGGAGAGAAAAGGTTTGAAAGGTCAATCCCTAAATCACCCTTGAATATACGGTAAGCCAAAATTAAGTCGCCTCTCCTCCTTCGATATGATAATGGGGAGAGATTTAAATGCTCCATCCTCATGTCATAAGGAAGGTGTGAGATACCATTAACTAATTTTGTTCCTACCCTCTGTACTCTTTCCAGGGTATGTGCCTCCTTTTTGAAGCATGGGCTCGCCGCTTGTATGCATTACTCTAGATGAGGCCTGACATATGTTGCATAGAGTAATTGGGACATACCCTCGTCTAATCGTTTGAAATATCTTCGAAGTGCCCATAACATTCGAAAAGGCTCAGCTGTAGCTCGATTGCAGTTCGCCGTTGTTTTTAAGTCATGGCTAACAATAATTCCTAAGTCCTTTTGTTCCCTAACATCTGGCAGTTCTGTGTTCTCCATGGAGTACGACGTGTAAGACTTCTGACCTAGGTGCATTACCGCGCTTTTCTTGGAATTAATTTCTAGACTCCAAAGGTTAGCCCATTCGGTTAATTTGTCTAGATCGTTTTGTAGTACCAACCTATCATCGCTACTATTTACGGTTTTCCATATCTTAATATCGTCCGCAAATAGTAAGGAACATGAGGTAAAAATTTTTGGCACTTCATTTACGTATAATAAGAATAGCAAGTACCGTTCCCCGAGGTACTCCACTTAGTACTGCTTTCCACCCTGACAGTACACCATTAACCCTTACCTTCTGTCTCCTATCCATCAGGTAGTCACTAAACCACTCGCATAAGCGTTGGTCTAATCCAAAATGTTTAAGTTTACTAAGAAGACCTAAGTGGGATACCTTATCGAATGCTTTACTAAGATCGATAAATACAACGTCCAGTAGATGGTTTTTATCCCTGGCCTCGACCCAATCTTCCCTAGCTAACAGTAAGTTTGTCAAGCAGGATCGTCCTGGTCGGAATCCATGCTGTTCCACTGCCAGTAAGCCATATTTTTCCGTATGAGCTAAGAGCTGGTCCCTTATGAGTTTTTCTAACACCTTTGCTATAATGCAGGTCAGACTTACTAACTGTCTATTCCCATCTTTGAAGATGGGGCTTATAAAAGCATCTTTCCAGTCTCTGGGTAACCTAGCCTGGGTCAGAGACATCTGAAAAATTTCCTTAAGTGGAATGTATATTATATCCGCCAGGGAGCTTAGCAATCTAGGGTAAAGTCCGTCTGGTCCAGGTGATTTACCTGGCTTCAACTTAGACAGTAGTTTCAGAACCATTGCATCATCTACCACAATTGGGGGCATTTTAGGGGCTACACCAGTTACCTCGCTACACCCCTGGGTGGTACGATTAGACGAAAAAACACAGAAATATTCGGAGAGCTCCTCAGCTTTTGTTTCATCTGATTCTGCAGCCTCTCCTGTGTTGCTAATGAGGAACGGTATGCCACTACTAGTTTTAGTCCTACGTTTGATATACGAGAACAGTCTTTTTGGATAATGCACACAATCCAGTACTAACTGTCTCTCATACTCTATACGACTTTTGTCAATCTCATACTTACAAAGGTTTCGAACTTTGCGGTATTCTACCCGAAACTCATCCCTTCCAGTCACAGCAAACCGGTCCCATAAGTTCTTTCGTTTTCTTAGTAACCTCCTTATTTCATTACTAATCCAAGGTGGTTTATGAGATAATTTTCGAGGCGTAGACCAAGGTACAAAGGGTGCAGTGACGCACTCTAGTGTATTCCTAAATCCCATCCAAGCCTCCTCGACAGTCTAGTGTGTGTTAACAGACCAGTTAGCTAGGGTTGCTGCATTTCGGATTGCAGGTATATTCGCTTTCCAAACGTTTGGGCAAGCGGCTGTTGACCTATGTATGACGGCCTGCATCCTGAACATAAAAGTAATAACTATGTGGTCACTACTGCCTAGCGGCGCCAGGCACCTAATGTTACCAACATCCTCCTTCTGGTGTGTTAGCACCAAGTCTAGAGTGGACGGATCATGTTCAGGATGGTATCTTGTTGGTGCATCCATATGCTGCACAAGTGCGCATTCAAGTACTGCCAGTATTAGTTCCCTATTGAAACAATTGTACGAAGTAGTTGATGTTAATTCCTCCCAATTAATATGCGGGGCATTAAAATCACCTACTATTAGACACCTATTCTTTCTACTCCACGTCCTGAGGTGATTTATAACGAAATTGTCAGCTTGGCTGGTAGGACTTCTATAAATAACCCCTATCGTTACAGTGCCTTTGTTCAAGTTAATGACACAACCTGCGGCTTCACAGGTGCCACTGTCATGAGCTTCCGACAACGTCGACCTAATTCCTATGTCATCTCGAATGTATAGGGCGACCCCCCCACCTTTCCGGCTACTTACTCTGTCTGCTCTAATGCAGATGTACCCAGGTATGAGTGGAGTTAAGTCTATACCCATTAACAACCATGTTTCGGTGATAGCAATCACATCCGGCTGTAGTTCCTCAGTCAACACTCCTAGTTCAGGAGTCTTATTCCTAAGACTACAAGCGTTCGTGTAGCATACTGAGAGACCTATGTGTTCACTCGACTTATGAACAGAGGTCTGGGTAACATAGGTTTCCGAGACCTCACTACCCGAAAACCCAATAGTTCAAGCCCATTTTGATTCAATTGCCCCAAACCAACAATGGCGAGACATAACTTGCTAATGTAAGGTTGAACCATATTTTGAGTAATGTCAGTGACTGATTCTGTCGTGTTATGATCACCCCTAACAGCATTTAAACGAATTCAAACATCGGGTAATACCACCTACTAAAGAGGATGTTGGCTTAATTTGGATTATTCTTACTTCAGCAACCTCAGTCGATCAAGATTAACATTTTCATCCTAACACCCTCTGTCCATTGTCAACATTATTTATAATTACTCCATGCTATGTAAAAAGTTAAACGAAGGCACATTCATAAGCCTGTATTCTTTTTAAGACAATTTCATCGGTTATATCTTGCAACTGTTTTCTGTCCAAACTTAGGTTTTCCTGTGTGCACACTGATTACTTACCAGTTATGAGTCGACTATGCTTCCTTGTCACGTTGACAGATTCCGAGCCATTTCGCCCTGAGTTTTCAGCCGTTGGTTCTGATCCTGGTATTTTCTGCTACTATACTAAGTAAAAGGAAAGAACGATCCATCAAGTACACATAGTAAAAGTATTTTGTTATCCACTCCTTTTTTCTCCTCTGTTTGTATCATTAATATACTTAGTTGTGTTGCGGGCTTTTGGTTGCTCATGGTCTGTTGATTTTGTTTTTATTTAAGATAGACATCTGTGACTCATATCCATGCTAAAATTCTGGCATCATTTCCATTTGGGTTCGTAATCAGGATACCGTGAGCTACCTAATCTTTGTCTCAAGAATCAAATTCTTGTTGAGTTACTAAACTAAATTCTTTCTTGACCAAGCAGCTAAGTTGCATATTTTATATACTATTTATTTCAGTGTTCAATCGGAGTCCACTACTGCAAGCTTGAGCTAAAGATTTAGGGGAATTCAGAGGGCATAGTACTTCAATGTTTCACCTTGTCAGGAAGGAAGAACTTTTAGGAAAGATTGAAGACTGTGGGCTTCTAATATAAATGCCTTTACTTCCAAGAAATTCCTTTATTGCAGGTTTGTGCAACAGAGTTTGAGTCATATTCACTGGCGTTACCTAATTATTAAAGTTATAGAAGGTGACTGGGTTCGCTCATTACAGTTAGCAGAGGTATTTTTGGAGTAAAACATCCTAGTGTAGATTAATGAGTGGAATATCATCGATCAATCTGCTGATTTATTCTTTGTCATTTTATTTACGCTAGTTTATGAAAGTTTAAGTCTTATATAGAATAGAGCACTGAGGAAAGTTATCACTATCGTAAAGCTTAGCAACAGTTAATTTATTTAAGAAAGTTATCTTCGCATAGCAGTACAATGTCTTTAAGCTTAACACTGGCTAGTATGATTTATGTGACTGATATTTTTCGGTTCGCAATAGTCTAGATAGAAGTTTTATGCTTTTTTATTGTTAGTGTCATCGATAAGTAATCTTATTCATTTTGATTCATCTTGTATTAATACAGATTTAAATGTATTCGTTGTCACGCAGAATTTTTATTGACTGTACTTCAGATATCTTTAATCAGTTAACTTTCAGTTATTTCTTATAGAATTGCATTCACTAGGTTTTGTATCCAGGTAGGTAAACAGTTTAGACTTTCTAAAATTAAGTGCCTAAATTCCTCAAGTAGAAGTGTTCAGCTAATATCTTTATCCTCTTATGGGAAGAATAAAACAAATGGGCATTATGGACATAGGAAGTAAAAGTACACTACAACTGCTGTTGATTATAAACCACATGTTCACATGATAAAGAAATTAGCAAGGGAAAAACATAGAAATTATATTATCAAAGGTATAGACATACTTAGTATTGTACATCTTTTTAAATTTTGTCTTTTACATGAAAGTAACGTATCTGTACTAAAGGGCACTTGTTGCATTTTTTGAATATCTCTGATATTATCGAAATTGTCGTATCTATGGAATGGTGTTTTAGCTTGTAATTTTACACTTTTAATTCTATTTTCTGTTTTGCGGAAGGAGTTTATTGGAAAACTGTTTGTTTTAATTATTTTGGTTGGGTTCATAAATTCCTTTTCATTTACTGTCAACGTGTACATTTTTTTCAAAAGATTGAAGACGAATTAAATCTTTGTGCAGATGGAGTAGAAGGAATTGAAATGTGAATAATTACTCATTTGTACTGCCTTCTGGACAGCAGTCATAATGCGATGTCCATTCACTTTTCGAAATAGGCAAAGTAGGAGGAGCAATTCACCGTTTGATCTTATTATAAGAGGAATTGCATACGAGGAAATGTATTTAGCGTTATTTGGGAATTTGTTGTTTGTATTATGTTTTTATGTCACACAAGTATGTTTATAAAAATATTTCCTGATGATCTATTCATGAATGGGTTTGCCACTCTATGTGCACTCATTGCTACGTAATTGGTTTTTTGATACTAATTTGTTTGTAGGTAAAATTTCAACACTTGATTATCTCACATTCTCACCATGATAATGATGTGCTTTTCTGTTTACTAAAGCGACCGTTTAGTGATTACCATAATACTCACCGGCCGTTATAGAAGAGCCATATTCGCTGAATATTCGAATGTCTAAATCCATTTAAAATTCAAGTAATTCAGAAAAAGCCTCAGTACCAGTCTGCAACTGTTTAGTGTGAAGATTTTCAAGTGTATTTCGTTTTCTTGATTTTCTAAACATTTTCTTTTCGTGCATTTCTCTATTCCTAGCATCCGATGCCTACGTATCATATTAGTCCAGGCTTACCAATTCTTGCATCCGACTTAACAGAAGAAGAACAAATACAAATTGTCAAACGTATTCATATGCTCCAATTCCTTCCTCTGACTAATTATGTACCTGTGAATAAGGAGAAATTGAGAGAGTAAGAGAATTTGTGTATTTCTTAATATGCATAACCGAGCGGTGGGATGTTTGCGTGTATATATGTGTTTGCTGTTTTGGAATGTTCGTGGACAATGTTTATGACTAATAACCTGATTAATCAGGATGTTTGCATGTTTCTTGTAATTTGTGTTTAAGATTATTTATTTCGTAAAAGGAAATTCTATGGTCCATTCGACACTCACTTAAACGCGAAATCTGAATTGGTCTTCGGGTGACTTAATCAGAAGGATTTAGGATATCTTAGTTGTATGCATATTTATCCTTTAATCACCCATCTGATGTATTTTATCTTTTCCCTTAGTTCTAGAGGTTTAGATGCGTTCCACTTAACTTACTACATTGAACAGTCGAGCAGTGTATTTTGTTAAAATAAATGTATGCATTGAGGGAAACCAAGGTGTATGATGATAGCGCTCATATTTACGCAAGTATATTGACAAGTTTGTGTTCATTTGTCAATATTTATTTATTGCACGTCTTAAGTGAACTGAAGATATCAATAAGCAACTTTCAAGTAGAATTTCGAGTCCTGATCAATGTCCCAAGGTTCGAGCAACCAGTAAATATGGGTTGTCAGCTAGAACATTTGATTTTCAATCGATGAATGCCCCGTCTAAATTTTATATCGGCTTGGGAAATTGAGTAGCATCATGAACCCTCATATAAAATGTCATATTCTAGTGCATAAACTTGTACCGAGTATCTGGTTTTCAATAATCTAGCTTAGTTAGCCAATGGTTTCACCAGTTTTTACAAAACAGAGGTTGTCGTAGAAATGCACATAGTTGCTGAAGATCACTTGTTGGTATCTGGGGAATTTAACAGTTGTTGTCCTGATAACGTCATTCACTTGTAATGTGACATGAGTAACTTCGAGGTCAGACAGTTTTGAGTAAAAGCAATAAGTTAGTAAATGTGATTGTGAACTCTCATCACCGAAGGTAGTTAGGGCATGAGCTATGTATACATACCGAACACTTACTATAACTCGCAATTTTATGTGAACTAGTATAAGTTGAGAGAAAAATAGGAAAAAAAGTGATCACATCATAAAGCCGGTAACTATTGAGTTAAATCATTTAGTAAATATTGTAGCTCTTTAGCTGTGGTCAACATAATAGAAATTGACCCATGAATGTATGTCGTCTTCTCATTCTAAGTATGATATAGTTTTGTACTCACTACTGTTATTATGAATTTGAATTTCCTGACGAATGAAGAGCAAATAAATGTTTCGCTGTTTAATCCTAATAGCTTTGTCAAAGTAGTAGTAAGTCGGAACTTGCAAAACCCTAGTGTATGTGGTTTTGTTTTTTCATTCGTTGAGAAATACAGATTCTGTTTGTAATGAGCACCCTGTACCAAATATCCAAGTTTGGACATAAGCTGCTTTGTTCCATGTGTGCTGTCTTTTTTGTCGTGTTTTGTCCATCAACTTTGGGTTATATACATTTTCTGTTTTTCTCCTCTTTCTTTATTGCTGTTTGCAGTTGTGGTATTAATCCATACCTAACTGAATATCGTGTTACTCGACAAACACTTATTTTCTATTTTGTATTATGTTTCTATGATTTATTCTAACTCGTATTGTAGCTCAGGGCGTTAATGATCTGATCTAAAATGTCACTGGAAGCTCAGTCTCAAATAACTAGTTTGGCTTTTTACTTCAGACAGAACATTACTTGACTGAATCTTTTTCCTCGTTTGGCTAATCGGATTATTTATTATAATGACCTGTTCAAGCTGTACTAAACAGAACTCACGTTTTTTGAGGTTGTTTTGTTGGAAAAGAAAATGGTTGAATACAAAACAGTATCAATAATGTGGGGTCCGAAGGGGGAAGTAATATAACACAATAGGTGGTTTCTAAAAATAATATCAGATCTAGCAATGTTATTTACTTAGTTAGTCTAATTCACTCTTAGGAAAGTCATGAGAAAGATATTTTCTGGGCTTTTCGTCATACTTTTTGACCACCAGTACTAAACTACGGCAAAATGTTAAACTTTAGGTTACGACCAACCTTCTTCGTTTGTTTTAACTAAGTAGTCTACACTTTCCCCAGTTCCACAGCTCGTGCTAACGATGTTTTCAGTCCCTTGTAATTACACTCCAATCTAAATGCGAGAAAATTCAGCTACTGTGTTATATCATATGCCAAGACTCACTTTGACTTATTAGTGTTGGCTGTATTTTTTAATATCTTGTGTTCCCAGCGTGCAGCAGTAATTATGATGCAGATAGCGTAGACTAACAAATACTATTTATTTAAACACAAAAACTGGGTACAATATGGCACCAAGAAGATGCGCCACACAATAATAACAAAACAACATAGATTAAAAGTAAAAATACAGGTAGAGAATGGATAAAGAACTTCATCTGGAAGGAAACAGTCATACTTAACAAGTTGAAACAACTTTCATCAGCTATCATCGGGAAGGGAAGAAAGAAGGAAATTGCAGCACGTTCGCTATTGATTACGATTCTTGGCCATATCCGACAACGTTTCGAGCCATCGCTTCGAGCTGTCTCTCGAACTTCAACCAGGGAGTCGTGATGCACCAACCGATGCTAACCTGACACAAATACCCTTCATCTCATGACGCCACGTCATGGGCTGACGACCTCTCTGCATTTCCATCCCGTCCCAGGGTTAGCGAACAGACATATATACGGAAGCCTCTGGAATGACATTCGCAGCACATGTCCAAGCCGCCGAAGCCGGTGTTTCCAGATGACGACGCTCAACGATTGGTGATCTCCACTGTGTTCAGACACACCGCCGAACCTCAGAACTACTCACGCGATGATGCCATCGAACGCAAGCAATCCTGTGGAGACAGCAATGATCGAATACGCAGAGCCGCCGCACATCCTCAGCTCGGAGAGGCCAGGTTTCGCAGGGATAGAGAAAGACAGCCCGCACCGAAGCATTGTATACCCGACCTTTGACAGACAGGCAAACGTCGCGATGGAGCCAGAGTTGGCACAAGTTGATTTACGCCACCCTAGCCTTCATGATATGGTTGGAAATCTCATCCGTCACCCCTCCGCCAGCACTCATACAACTACCCAGATACACAACCTTATCAACAACTTCAGGCGGTTCACCTGCAAGAGTGAGCGCAGGTACAGGCTCCTGCCAATCTTGTAACTACTTTGTACTCAGGCGGCTCAAAGCACATGCCATACAAACACTGACCGCCAACTGATTAAGTGCGATTTGGGCAGCCTGCATGCTATCGCACAGTAAGATGATATCGTTTGCATATACGAGGTAGAAAAGTCTCTCTCAAGGAAGCAAATCTGCACCACTACGTACGTCCTTCAGAGCTGACTCCAGAATGTCATCGATGGCAAAGTTAAAGAGGAATGGAGAGATTGAATAACCCTGCCTAGCCCTACTGTTGGTTGGGAACAGTGATGATAGTTGGTTGTATGCCCTCACTGTACCTGCAGTGTTTGTGTATAAAGCTTTCAGGATGTTCACAAACTTCTCAGGTACACCCCTCTCTAAGAGACAGTTCCAGAGCACAGTTCTGTCCAACGAATCGAAGGCAGCCCTAATATCAAGAAACACAACGATTTTTGGCCTGGAATATATATGGTTGTGTTCCAACAACTGGCGAAGGGTGAACACATGATCAATGCATCAACGATCTGAACGAAACCCAGCCCGCTCTTCGCGAATCAATCCCTCACGTGTTTTGCACATCCTACGAAGCAAGATAGCAGCTCATATTTTAGATGCAACTGGTAGCAGACTGATACCCCCATGGTTGTCAAATGAGTTACGTTGACTCCTTTTTAGAGATGGGGACGATAATGGCTTCATTTCATATTGACGGTATATTCTCAGTCCCCCATACTTTTCTGATTAATCCAGTTAAAGCTATTACAAGAGTCTCGCCACCATTTAAAAAGAAGCCAGGGGTGGATTGTCTGGGCCGGGTGCCTTATGGCGTTCCTTACGAACCTCCGCTTCGGTTGGTGGGTCGATACTAACAGGCCAAGGGGCACTGGAGATAGTGACAATGGATACTGAAGCTGGTGGCCAGTTAAACTGTTTCTGGAAGTTATCTGCCCAGCGTTCCAGGTGTCTTTTCAGGCTGTTAATTGGCGTGCCATCTGCCTCAGACTGTCCCGCTGACACCTTGTTTCTTGCTGCCGATGGCTCGGCAGAGCTGAAACAGCTTCCGACTGTTGCCGGATGCGGCAGCTGACTGTATCTCACACGCACATTCTGATCACCAGGCTTCGCGGTCTAATCTTGCTCGTAAGCGTCTTTCGCTTATTGTTGTATTAGCTACCAGCCGGAATGGACTGGCATTCATCCAGGAGTTGCAAGGAACTCGTAGAAACCCAATGATTTTAGCGGAGCATTCTTTCAAGCCGCAAGCGGCTACACTTGCCATTTGCATGGCGTCTTGCAGATGAAGCCGATGTTCATCTATACTATTTGGGGGGGGGGGTTGCTAGAAAGCATTGATTGTAACTCATTCTGGTATTACAGAGAAGTAGCAGGTACTACTAGTTTGCTCACACCAACGTTTAGATGATGCCGTTTATGAACGCCACCAAATCGCAAGACGAACCTGGCACACACTAACGCATGATTGAAGTCTAGGCATGTGGTCCAGAAGGAGCAGCAGTCTTGTATGCATCCTCGCCATCGGAAACTGACAGCATCATGATCAATCTGAGTCCAAGCTTGATTCGCAGAGGGAGGACGCTAGGTAGCACTACGGCGATGGCTATGCAGGAAGTTGGTGCTGGTTAGAAATAGGTTGTGATCTACGCAAAGCTGCAGAAGACAGTCACCATTATCTGACCTGAGACCACCTAGATGATTTTTGTCTGAGCTTAGACGCCAAACGTGTGCATTCAAGTCCCCAGCCAGCACTACGATATCCCTCCGACCTGCCTGTCTCAAGAGATCGCTCAGTTGGTAGTAGAACTCACCCTTAATTGCAT